CCCAGAAAAAAATTCTGTATCTTGTTACTGAATGTAACGTCCATAACGGGCGATAACTCTTCAGAATGTGAAATTTGTCTTATTGCAGCATCGGATGTCCTTTGATTCTTTAAACTTTAACCTAACCGTTTGCATTTCAGACTATTTTACCCAAATCTATACCAACTCTTGTACTTACCGACATAGGTCCCGTAAACTTCATGAATCATAATCCAATTAAAACACAAAATAATTCCTACTGACATATATATATGCAATGATGTGTACACCACACTAGTACTGCACGTGCAGTCCAATCTAAAAATGATAGTGGTAAAACTAGTACTTAAGTTGGGTACGTGACGCAAGCCCAATGTGATGCAGGTGTTCAGATACATTTATAGTACAAGAACAAATTTAAAATTATCATTTACAAAAGATGTTTTATCTTAACTTTGCCATCTAGGCCTATTTCCAAAAACAGGCAAAAAGGGTGTGTTTGTGTGTGTGTGTTGATCGGAGAGGGGTGGGGGATTGACTAAATTGATTGGGTATATGGCAGCTTTCAAGGTGTTTCTGCCTAATCAAACATAAAAAAGTTTGAACATTTTGAAAAAATCATCAAAAGCGCTTTGCACTAATTTGAATAATATTATTTGTTGTTAATCTATATGAGAAAATAGACTCAAAAAGTATTAATTATAGGCCAAAAAATTATATCCCCCCTTTATCAAACCTAATTTACATCATTAATTAAATTCTGTTGTTAAATTTCAGACTGGTAGCGAATTAAGAAAATGAAATACCTATAAGATCGAGGCTCATGGGTCACATGGTCACCGTAGCATATTATGCTCCAGGGGAGGATCCAGCAATTTTTGAAAGGGGGGTCCAGGGTTGTGTCTCTCTATCCCCCCCACTCCCCTTTTACACACTTTCAGGCAAACATTCACACACACATGCATGGAAAAATATAAGATTGTGGAAAATAATACCTTTATTCTACGTCTTTTTTTCCTTTGAAAAGCTACCCCCGTCTGTATTAAGCCTTATAATTGAATGGATTTGCAGCATTTCCGAAGAGTAGAGTGAATTTTCTTCAAGAATTTAAAAATCCTTTTTGGGCTGGGTATAAAACAATGAATTAAATTTTAGTTCCTTCATAAGATTTAGTTTAAAAAAATGGCACCTTCTTGTATATAGCCAACACAGCCAAATTTAGATCGCGGGAATCTAATATCAAATTTAACCTCGCATGTTAACATATCATTTGTAAGACATATATTATCATATAAAAATAAGTAGAATATTTTCTAACATTCTCTCGTAAATAAGTAATATTGAAGGTGAATGGAGGAAACTTAATGTGTGAGAATCTATCTATTCAATATATATTTAAGTTAGACGTACGAATATTTATTCTCGGGAAACGTTTTATCCCCCTTCTTTCTCTCTCTTTATCCACTTTGCAAAAAACAAAGTGGGGGGGGGGGGGTCCAACCCCCGGAACCCCCCTCTGGATCCGCCAATGTGTTCAATTTGATGAATACATGTATTATGTAAATTATTGAATTATATTGACTTTTTCCTTCGTAAAGCCCAATTTGAAGGAGTGTGCATTTAGAGGCAAACACCTTAGTGCGGGTATTACTGTCTCATGACAGCATCTAGTAAATTGTAATGTTCTAGTTACAGATACAAAGACATATCTTGTAATTTTCTGTAATTTTCTTAAAAATAAAACTGATGAAACTGATGTAAAAACTGATAACTCATGAATTTTTAATTATTGAAATTCCATTCATAAAAAATAATCCTACTCATGTCTAAAAATTAAAGTGGGCAATGGCTGCGGACACTATTTTCATAAGGAAAATTCCCCTTGAAATGGGTCATTTTGAAGATTTTTTTCTGTTTGAAATGGAAAAATATATCAAATTAATGACGTCATATTTCCAAACTGGTATTCTTTCATGCCATATCCTTTCCTGATCTTTCACAGTCATAAACTAGACTAATATTTAAGCCAGTTTCAGAACATTTTGTGAACTTTAATTTTTAGGTCACAATAAAGTTAAAACCATACCTTCTTTTTTTCAACCGTCTATGGAAAGGCCTTTTGAAATGCTTCCTATTATTATTAGGTCTTTATGACTTTCTGTGGAAAGACCTATTCGATTTCTTATGTTTTCTATTGTTTTTTATTAGATCTTCCAACCTTTATGTGGAAAGACATTCCGATATTTTTGTTTTTCCTATTATAAGTTCTTTCCATTTTTCTGCGGAACGACTATTTGAAATTGTTCTGTTTATTATTTTTTTTTCTGAAAAGTGTGTTTTCTTTTTTAAAATAATTTTGAATTTATTCATCATTATGAAACCCATTTACAATTTCTAACTGTCCCGGGCCAGGATAGTTTGTATAACAGAAATAACAGAGTAACATATATTAATTAAAACATTTCTACAAATGTCACCATCTTATTTAAAACAAGTGAGTTTTTGTAAACTTCAGTAAAATGTCCATATTGTTTTAAATATTTTTTTTTTAATAAGAAAGTAACATATCATTCGTTTAAGTTTTGTTCTGAAAAATACAAAACATTTTAAATTTATACATGTATATACATATATATAAGAAAGATATAAAGGTATTTAAAAATTGTAATTTGGAATACCGTTCAGAATAAAACCCTAAGATAACATGTTTCCACTGTATATCAAAACTTAAAACAGAACTCAGATTTATCCTTAGCATTTGAACATGTTAACAATCACAAAGCATCCTTGGGTAAAGGGGACTCAAATTTGTTCAAATGAAGGGCCAAGCCCTCATTCAAGGGGAGATAATTGGGAATTAATGAAAATTTGGTGGTATACTTTAAAAATCTTCTCAAGAACCACTGTGCCAGGAAAGCTGAAACTTATGTGGAAGCATCCTGGGGTAGTGTAGATTCAAGTTTGTTCAAATCATGACCCCCCGGGGTAGGGCGGGGCCAAAATGGCCGACCAAAGTTTTACATAGAAATATATAGGAAAATTCTTGAAAAATATTCTTGTCAAGAATGACAAAGCCATAATTCATCATATTTATATGGAAGCATCCACAGGTAGTGTAGATTCAAGTTTGTTCAAATCATGACCCCCGGGGGTAAGGCGGGGCCAAAATGTCCGACCAAAATTTTACATAGAAATATATAGGAAAATTCTTTAAAAATCTTCTTCTCAAGAATGACAAAGCCATATTTCATCATATTTATATGGAAGCATCCTCAGGTAGTGTAGATTCAAATTTGTTCAAATCATGACCCCCGGGGGTAGGGCGGGGCCAAATTGGCCAACAAAAATTTTACATAGAAATATATAGGAAAATTCTTTAAAAGTCTTCTTGTCAAGAATGACACAGCCACAATTCATCATATTTATATGGAAGCATCCCCAGGTAGTGTAGATTCAAGCTTCCTCAAATCATGACCCTCGGGGGTAAGCCGGGGTCAAAATGGCCGACCAAAAATTTACATAGAAATAAATAGGAAAATTCTTTAAAAATCTTCTTCTCAAGAATGACAAAACCATATTTCATCATATTTATATGGAAGCATCCCCAGGTAATGTAGATTTAAGTTTGTTCAAATCATGACCCCCGGGGGTAGGGCAGGGCCAAAATAGGCGACCAAAGTTTTACATAGAAATATATAGAAAAATTCTTCAAAAATCATCTTCTCAAGAATAGCAAATCCATGATTGGTCATGGGATTAATCTATTTTTCCTAGCCACAGTGCTCAGGTGAGCGATGTGGCCCATGGGCCTCTTGTTTATTTCTTATTTTTCATCTCTGGAGTCATCTCTAGTACGTTTCCTTTCTATTGAAATAGAGAGTAGAGGTAAAAATGAAAAAAAAATGTTTGAAACTTAAAGAAATTGGACATACCTTAAATTCGTAAGGAACAATAAGTCTACTTTACATTTCTTACATGATAGTAAGGGAATTATGAAATTTTATCCTGCCAAGAAAAATCATATTAATAGGATAATTCTTGGCTGAATAAATCTTCATGTTTCCCGAACATTCATGCAATGATTTGTTTATTATACCGAAAAAACAAGAACTTTATATCCTTTAAAATGCAGCACCGCTCTGAAATTCACTTCCTGTTTTAATACTGAGTAACTGAAAACCTTTGACAAATCACCAATCCGCCAATTTTATGACGTAAACCAGGCTATTGTAACGTTTACTTTTCTCGGGAGTTTTCTTTCAACGAACGATAACTACATTGCGGGGCATGCATTAGGTATTTGAAGAGGTGGAATATTGTGAAAAGCAGGCCGACGACCGTGAAATATGAAGTTTTATGACCCGATCACTTGATAATCGATACCAATCAGATAAAGCGTTGTGCAGAATAATTATAACGAAATATACTAATGGTTATTTTTCTTTTTCATTATTTTTCCGCCGAACCATTTTTAGATTCAAGATTTGTCGAAAAGATTTTTAATCCATAATGCTGTTCTCCTAAAAACACTTTTGCAGTTGATCTTTGCAATAAAAGCTTGTTTTCTTCTCTCCTACGAAACTGAAAGAGTACGAAATCTTCACCAACGTCTTCATCTTATTTAAGAGACCCTAAATATATTCATTGCGACAGTATTTGTCAATCCTTTAATAAGCTACAGACCCTGAAGGTTTATGACGGTTTTGAATAATGACACATTTTCTAAACAATATGTCGTAGAATAAAGCGTCAAAATACATTAGCTTTTCCGTTCTTTAACATTGAAATAAAAAGCAGGGTAAAAGGTCAAGGTTATTAAAAATCGTAAAAATTTAGCTATTTTTGTAGCTCTTTTGCATTTAACATTTACTTTTTTCTTTGCCTCTTTGATATTTTAATTTTTTCTACAATTTTCAAGAAAAGATTTCTTTTTTGTGGAATTTAATTTTAAAGAGTTAAAAATGAAAATTATTGATATTAAATTCTGTGAACAATCAGTATACTAGTAATACGTATTATAGGTCTACCAGAAATTTCTATAGAAGAGGAGACAGAAGGCGAATTAACAAACAACTTCACAGTAAAAATAGTGTCTATTCCCTCTGTTTTTTCTGTCACCTGGGCAAAACTTGTTACAACAGACCCTGGATCTGATTACATTCCGATTGATTTAACTGATCCAATATATAGCGGGACTTCTTGTTCAACACCATTTCCAAAGCTGGTTGTTAGAAAAAGTGAATCACCAAAACAACAGATGTTTAAGGTTATTGCGGAAAATTTTATTGGGCAGTCAGAAGCCATTGTAGGCGGTAAGTCTGTCTCTTTCTTTTTAATATATATTTTTGTACATAGGCCTATACTAATTGTGCTTATGATACGTTTATAATATGTTACCTTTTCACAGGTCAGAAATCTATTCCAACACAACAAGAATTGGCTCTGAAGAAACAAGGTAAATTAAATCTGAACTTGACTCGTCAATTAGCATATGCAATATTCGATTATACGATCTATAATTCCAAAAACTAGGGTATGTCCTTCACATTCTTTACACTTTACTGCTTCATTTTCAAGGGTATTGTGTTGGAGTTCCGACTTGTTCATACTTGTTATCAAGCATTATCTGTGTTAATTTATTGTAGTAAGTTACGTGTATATGTTTCTGTTTGTATATTGCACTGACCATTCCAATTTTTGTAAGTTTGTTTGGTATTTTTTTCTCCCGTCCTGGAAGAAGTATGCCTATGTATCATACATCTGTCTACCAACACAGGTGACAACTGATTACAGTGAAAAGCGATAACATTGTATGAGAAGGGCTTTTTTTATTATTTATTTATTTTTTCGTCTTATTACAAAGATATATCAACAACAAGTATTTTTTTTTCATTTACTCACACTTTCTCACTCACACTCATTCTTTTTGGTAAGTGGTGTTTATATTTGTTAATTGTAGACAGAAAAAAAGAGAGATATATTTATATACATACATATCAATATGAGAAGGGCTTATATAGCATTCTCAGATTTAGCGAGTGAATAAAGGAATATGGAAGAAATTCTTTTTACGAATCGTCTTAAGCTTTAACGCTTATGATCTAACAATAATTCACGTCAATTTACACATTTTTCTCCCCTCTTTTTCATTCATTTTCCAACCCGATAATTTTTTTTTTCAATATCTCCGTTCTGTAAGACAAGTCTCAGCTAACGATGTCATAAATATGCTTAAAAATGCATCATCGTGAAAATTCTGGCATTTCGTCTAGTTTACATTTAATTTGCGTTATTTTGTAATCTCCCCACAGATGGCCTTTCATATATGGGGGTTACAAAATATAACATCCTACTGTACACACAAGTAGGGTGGTACTTCCATCCTGGTTAACTTCAGTTTTATAAACAAAACGAGAGTTTCGCAAAGGTAACAATAATTTATTTACAGATTTCCGCAATACTGAGCAATAACAGCATCAGGTATAATACATCAAATAATAAATAGGTCCCCAGTCTGTTGGGACATAATTTACAGTTGTCACAGCTAGGGTTATGCTAAGTACTACTTTGCTGCTGATGCATATTATCTGAAATGAAATGGCGAGGCACTTATATTTATAACCTTCGGAAATAGTCATGTGATACAAATTAACCAATGAAAATGCTGTACGACGACGTTCCAAAAAATCACGGCACTGTACGGTACCGTACAAACAGAGATATGTCAAGCAGTGCGAAACAAGGCTGCCATACAATGAGGATAATAACTACAAAACGGAATTAAAATGTGAAAAGACAAAATAACCAATAAATATGAATCAGATGAAGTTATGTCTATAATAAGTAGGTAAACAATTTATCCTTGAAACTTGTAAATTTCACATAAATAAACTCGCTGAGTATGCAGACGATATCGCGGATGGATAAAAATATAGTGCAAGCTGTAGACACATGTAATCAGGAATAATAATGGCTAAAATGAATAGAAGAACACACACTAATAAACACATACCAAGTAATTATGCCTGTGACATAGCATGAAGAACAAGTTTGGTAAAATCCAAAACTATGGCTAATACATATAAGATGTAAACAACTTCCATGACTCCAACAATTGTGTACAATTATAGCAATGTCGGGCTCTTATTTGACTAAAGTATAATCAATTAAAATACAGTAACGGGTTTGTACATGAATTCATAAAATAAAGGACTTCCTGTATAAATGCAAACAACAAGTATGTCAATGTGCTATAAATAGACGATACCACGTTGCATTAATATTCAAAGGATTTAAATGTAGAATTGTTGTGAATGCATAATAAAATCCACCCAGATAATATTCCCAATAAATGTTGACACATATAGATCATATAAAAATGTTAAACTAAGTAATTACAGTCTACCCCAGGCCATCACAATATTTATATGCTGGTGAGTTAAGACTAGGTGTAGAAATTTTTATGCAGATAAACTGAATAAAATACCTAAGGGTTATCATCTACTAATTAATGTCAAACATAATGGCGCCATACTATAACGCCATTGTCAATATCCAGGATATCGTATCTATATCGAATCATAATTGGTAAAACATTTTAATATTTTCAGCCAAACCCATAACCTTCCTATTAATCCTAACTCCTAACCCTTTGTAATTTCATTGACATTTTTTTCACATCTTTAAGTCTTTTTAATTCCACGGTGTGAAAAATTCACGATATCTCAAAAAGTACCAATTTGCGATGGTTTTAATTTCACGATGCAAGAAATTTTATTCAAAAGTTCGTATAACAATTTAAACGTTTTTAAAAGTTAGTATAACATTCACGATGTGTTTAATTTCAGGGAAATATTATAAAACGTGACCATAGCGAAATTAAAACCATCGTGATTATTTGCCAATCTACAGTTTTCTTGCCAACAATGAATCTATACTGACTTACTGCATGTTGACCATGTATAATTATGTTATATCTAAATTCTAAGAATATATTATTTTCGATCCGATATCCTCATGGTATTGTCGATATCGACGACATAGATATTACACGTAGTCTAATATATGGTGCCCCGTATTTCCAATTTATGGTTCTAGTCTGGATCGATATTGATCCGATATTGACATAATAAATGTCATAATAATTATTGACATGATAATGTCGATATCGACATCGGATTTGTTGTAGACATGTATGGATATTAGTAAAATACATGGAGAACAGAAAAAGCCATTTTAAAATATATTTATTGGTTGGAAGGAGAAAACAACGCATTTCCTTCGTAGATAGACGATCTATCGTTAAAGGTACTTGGACACAGATTTGAAGTTAATATTTTCTCATTTTTTCTGTATAATATCACGAATTATATATTTTAATAGCATTTCACACAAAAATTAATTAAAAATCTTATTTCATTTAAAAGTTATTAAAACTTTAATTTTTTTGGCGGGTTTGATTGACACATCCTTTCACTTTCACAAATTTTAACTTTATTCTTAATCCTTAGGAAAAGTGGCAATTTTGATGTGTTTTAATGAGAAATATTAAAACTTTTATCAAGAAAAATAATTTTATTCAGAGTAAAAATGTTAGAAAGCAAAACACCTTCACAAGTATCGTCATTCCGAACTAAGAGATGCGTACAGAGTTTAGCAAATCGAGCACACTCGTGTTATGTACCCAGATTTTGTAAACAGGGCTCGAGTTCTATTATTGTTTATATTTAGAATTCACCGGGTGCGTTCAATCGTCACAGTCTGCTTACCACAACGGCACGGACTGACAATATATTGTGTGTTTGTTTTGCTTTCGAACGAATCTACTCTGAATTTTCTGGATTATAGTATTAATATTTTTCATTTATACAAAACGAAATTGCCATTTTCCCTATGGATTAAGAATAAAAGTAAATTTGTGAGAGTGCAAGGATATATCAATCAAACCCGCCGAAAAATTTGAAATTTCAATATCTTTTAAACGAAATAAGATTTTTAATTAATTTTTTTGTGAAATGCTATTAAAATATATATGTCGTAATATTACAGAGAAAATGATAACTTCAAATCTGTGTCCAAGTATCTTTAAAAACAAATTGAGATGAAACCATCTAGAGAACATATTGACAATACATATTAACATTAAGCGATAGCAAGATTTTACGGGATAAATTTTCCCTCAAAGACAATCACTGATACGGTATTTATGACTTGAAACATCTTAAGGAGATCAAAAATCTACCGGTTAAGTTTCCGAAAAAAAAAGACATTGATGCAGTTCATAAACAGTAATTCAAAGCAAGAGCAACCATCTTCATAAAAGCAATACTTTAATTTTAAGAAAAAAAAACAATAAAACAGCATTTATGACGAGCAACATTTCTCTCAAAATTAACACTGAAACAGTTTATGTAAGGTAATTCAATTAAGCATTGAATTCATATTTTGGGATGTCTTCGGTCCTATAACACACCTGGCCGTGCCGAGAAATTGAATACCGCGCTAACACGGCCAGGTGTGTTATAGGACTGAAGACATCCCAAAATATGAATTCAATGCTTATATTTACATTCTCTAATTTATTCTTTTCAAAATTGTTTATTTCAGTAATTTTTAATGTGAATTTAGCGCCCTTCAAAACTGGTGTGCTTTATAGACGTAAGAGCCGTTTTTGACGTTTCTGACGTTGCAAAGTTAAATAACGCAAACGAACATTGCGAGAAAAAAAGTGAAAAATTCATTTCAAACACACATTTGTTGTATTTTTAAGTAAATCTATCAGGGTAAATTTTTTTTATCAATTAGTGTCAAAAATGTACATTTTGGTGTTCCTAGAGTATTGAAAATGCATATAGTTCTTACTGTGTATTCTAACGCGCGGTGACAAGGTTTCGCGCGTGTTATAGAGATTTGAACGTCGTGGATTTCTAATGGATTTCATAAAGAAAATTACACTGAATGTACGAGGGTTGTCCATAAAGTTCGTGGACAATCTAAGAATGAAATAAAAGTTGCGTCATTGATATTTATTATTTGCATTCTTCTAATCCTTTACTAAATGTGAATTGAAAAATGTAAAATCTTATTCAATTTCAAATGTTTATTTTCAATTATGGCTTCATAATAAGACTTGGAATGGAGATCCGGAGCACCGCAAAATTTTAATTAAAAAAATTATGTATCACTTTATAAATTTCATTTGTATTCTATAAAATTCTGCGGAAATCTGGATGACTTTTACATTATGAGGTTAACAGAAGCTATCACGTCAAACATGCAAAATTTGAACGTTTAAAGTTGGAAAATGGCTAAACAATCAAAGTTAGAACTTATTAAGACGGATCGGAGCAGTGTGCAGTGATAAAATTCTGCGTAGACATCGGATAAACACCTACAGAGACCAATACGTTTTGTAAGCAATCGGGAAAAACATAGTAAAAGAAGCCGTACACTAGTATGTAAGTGGCATATAATTTTTTTTTCGGACGGAAAGAACAGTTTATAGAATTACATGCGTGAAGAAAAAACATCAT